TTTTATAAAACACAAAAGCCATGTATATGAAATAAATCAATAAATACAAACTTTAATCTCTTTATTTTAATTTCTGTATACTGTCCATAAAGATATTTGTTGAGTTCTAAAAAATACACTATTTATTCATTTATTTTTCTTGGCATTAGTCCCTTATTTATCAGGGGTTGCCGGAGTGGATCGAACTGCTAACAATTCCAGCATGTTTTATGCAGCAGATGCCTTTTCAGTTACAACCCAATATTGGAAATCACCCATACACACTCATTCACACACACTCATACACTACAACCAATTTAGCTTATTTAATCCACTATTCACTCAGCCTATATTCAATAATAAACATAACAAAAACTGCCTGCTAATGCATGTGTAAATCTTCAAAGGGAACAGTGTACTTTATAACCTCATTCACCTCATCCTGCTTGCTGTTTCACTATCTAAACAATGAAAACATAATATAAGTCAAATTTGTTTCATTTTGATATTATGATTAACAGACACCAAACAGCCTCGTGTAGCTACATATGTACATGAGCGTCATCTTCACTCTGCATATTTATTACAAAACACAGCTTAAATATAACTGCCTCCTTTCATTTCCACTGAAAAGAACAAACTTTACCCTGTCTCTTTTGCAGAATATCAGTTTTAATAATCAATAATGGCCATTATAACAGTTTAGCGTACAATAAATGTATACAACATCCAATCAGATAAGAAGAAAATAGTGGGACAAATGCAAGGTTTGGTCCACAGGCCCTAGTTTGCACATCTCTGTGCTATAGGAAAAAAACAACATTTGGCTTGAGTGACTTGACTTCTCTAACCTTTTTTTTCCCGTTGGCCTTTGATATGCAAAGTTGAATTGGATAAAAGTATATGCGCTACATGTAATTGAAAAGATCACAATGTATTATAAGGCATTAATCAATAACTCAATGTTGACAAAGTTTTACTGCACTGTTTTCTAGACAGTTCTCTTCCTTATTGCCGTAATGTAAAATAATCAGCTTGTGTCTCTGCTTGTTTGCTACTATGGGCTTTTCAGGTTTCACAGAGAACAGAATCTTTAACAAAAATCATCTGTTATTAATTTAAAAATAAAGTTAAAGGATGAAAAAATAAAAGCATAAAAATTATGCTATTATAACATGAGATTCAAGTCATTTCAGTTAAATTGCACAAAATCACATTCTGTTTCCCAAAATTCAATGTCAATGACATTAATAATCTTCATGTATGTTTTAATTAAACACGTTTTAAAACGCTTTTTGTTCAATCTGGCCTACACTGTGGTCTTATTCAGATCACTATTTCTGTAGATTTTTGTACAAAAGTCTTAAAACTGTAAAGGTTTGTCATACAAATGATAAAGTAAATCATTGAAATAACACTTACCGTGTTTTACCCTCTGAAGTAGTTTGTATTCCTCTCATGAGCGAATGTATTTTCACCAGTGTGAAAACAAAAGATGTTTCAACCATAAAAAATGTGACTATAAAAAGAGGAGGTGCTGAGCTTCTAACTGAAGTCATAAATGTCAAGCTGTTCCTTCTGATATGATCTTTTGGAAAGGTCACTTCATGTCTTTAACCATTTGTTAACTAAACTAGCCTTGGAAATATATAAGGAACAATCTCTTGCTGTTACAAATATAATATAATATAATATGATATAATATAATGTAATGTAATATAATATAATGTAATATAATATAATGTAATATAATATAATGCAATATTATATAATATAATATCATGTAATATAATATAATATAATACAATACAATATAATATAATGTAATATAATATAATGTAATATAATATAATATAATATCATATAATATAATGTAATATAATATAATATAATGTAATATAATATAATATAATGTAATATAATTAATGTAATATAATATAATATAATATAATGTAATATAATTAATGTAATATAATATATAATATAATATAATGTAATATAATACAATTTAATGTAATGTAATATAATATAATGTAATATAATATAATATAATATAATATAATATAATATAATATAATATAGGCAAAAAGATGGCTCAGTGGTTAACACTGTTGCCTCACAGCAAGAAGGTTGCTGTTTTGAGTCCTTGCTGGACCAGTTGGCATTTCTGTGTAGAGTTTGCATGTTTTCCTCGTGTTGGTTTCCTCTGGGTGCTCCGATTTCCCCCACAGGTCAAAGACTAAATTGATCATAGTGTATGAGTGTGTATCATACTGTACCTGCTAACACTTCTTTTTCCCGGGAGTCTCCTGTTTTTTAGACCCATTTCCCATTTTGTTCTGTTTCCGGGAAAACTCCCAGAATTTCAACGGGCTGCTCCGGTTTCCCCCACAAGCCCAAAGACATGAGGTACAGGTGAATTGGGTAAGCTAAATTGTCCGTAGTGTATGTGTGTGAATGAGAATGTATGAGTGTTTCCCAGTGATGGGTTGCAGCTAGAAGGGCATCCGCTGCCTAAAACATGTGCTGGATAAGTTGGTGGTTCATTCCGCTGTGGTGACCCCAGATTAATAAAGGGACTAAGCCGAAAATAAAATGAATGAATGAATGAATAACTGTATTATATAAAATGGAATCGGTGGATTACAATTTTCAAAAAATGTCAAATTCGGCATAGAACATAGCCTCATGATTGGCTGGCTCAACTGTCAATCAAACTGCTTGATAAAAAGTTAATAGACCCTTTTTACAATGACGTCACTTCATTTGCCTCTCCGCAACGCAGATTATTGGTAGTTCCGGTTTACCTTTGAGAGAAATTTATTAAATGAGAAAACAGTGGGTGTGGCTTGTTTTTTCTACTGCGAGTTGATTGGATGTAGTAAAGTAGGCATTTCATTAAAAAGATAGAGAAAAGGATTTTGGGAGTTATTACGATCTAACAGACTCCTCCTCCTCCTTACTATTTCTGTTTGTTGTAGTGCTGTTATGGCCCGTTTCCACTGAGTGGCACGGTTTGGTCAGGTACGCTTTTATGGCCGTTTCCACTGTCTTAAAGTACCTAAAAGCGAACTGTATATCAGTTTTTGGGCACCCTTTGCAAAGGGTACCTAGCACGAAAAGGGCACAAAATGGTGGAGCTAGATGCGGAGCTGAACGCTGTTGGTTTACAGAGGTAATGAAAATGAAAACAAGGGAACAGCCATGTTTAAAAACACAGCCGATAATAACGAGCCATGGTCGACCCGAGCTTAAACAGAGCCAAGAAGAACAAAATCTGCAGTGTTCCTGTTGTTGTTTTATGAGCCCGTCTAAAAGTGCGAGCGGTTTCACCAGTGGCGTAGCGCAAAATGTGGAGGCCCTCCTGCAGGGATCACTGACGGGGCCCCCAGTTGGGGGGGGGGGGGGGGGCAATGCGGGGAAGGGATCACAAATTGAGGAGTGGGGAAGGAAGCGGTGGAGCGACAACGCGGGGAAGCCTTCACAAACTAAGAAGCGATCACAAACTAAGGAGCGGGAAAGGGGGCGGGGTGGAGCGACAACACAGGGAAGCCTTCACAAACCGAAAGCGGCGAGAGCGTCAAAATAGCCAGAAGTGATTCATTTTCAATGAGAACCGGCGGCGAGGAACAGTGCAGAGCGTCTTCTCCTGTGTGAGCGTCGAGGAGAGTTGAAATCAAGTCAACTTTATGGTATAAGCTATGACCGGGCTTGACGCGGTTCGGCAGCAAGCAATCAGAATGAAGTAGTCCACCGCTAGAGTGGAGTTCAGAGAACACAGACCTGTGAACTATGGTTTCGACCACAGTTGTTCTCAAGAGTTTGATTATTGCGATTGCCAGATTTTCGCGACGACGTGGGGCCCCTTAATCATGCGGGGCCCCCCCGTGATGCGGGCCCGTCCGTTACGCCACTGGGTTTCACGTTCTTCAGAAAGCTTGTGATCGCCTCTATACTTGAAATAACAAACTTCTTGAGTTGATGATTATAACATGCGCATGGTTATCGAAGTGCTTCTGACATCTGATACTTTCAGAAACACACAAACGCGAGAGTGACGTGCGGAAAAACAAAGGAGCGAATGATTCTTTCAGCAACCTAAAACATGAACAAAGTACCATGATTTTTATTATTATCATCACCTTCTGGACAATTATGAACTCGGAATGACGGAATTGCTTTTTAACAGAGGTATATTTTGTGTTGTTTTAAATCCAAATAAGGACTAAATGTCTGTGTAGTTTTTCTGTAATTGTAACATATTGGAGACTGTAAGGGGCTGTATGTGTTCATATATGTTGCATTTATTTATTTATTTCATCGAATTGCAGATGTTACAGTAAGCTATTTTGCATTATCATTATCTGCAGTTATAATCAACTAATGTTCATAGAAAAGTTAGTAATGAACATTTATACACAAGTATTTATGTGTACAAAGCCTATGTTTTGTGAGAAGTGCTTCTTATATGATATGTGAACGACCCGTACAGCGTTAATGTAGACATTTTCTCGAGCGAGAATGACGTTGACTGTAACTTTTGGTACCATTAGTACCCTTTGGCAGTAGAAACACATATCTAATAAAAGTGACCTGTACCGACGCATACCATATCGTACCATACTGTACCAGTAGAACGGTACTGTACCATACTGCACAGTTTCAGTGGAAGCGGGCCATTAAAAACTGACCGCTGGAAGGGCTTGGTTAACACACTTATACCTCAGACAGATATGATCTCAGAATCTAACTGAAAACAAACAGGAAGTGCACTTTTAGATTTTAATTAAAGATTACAAGGATAAACTTTTTTTCTTTTCTTAATGACATGAATTGTTATTAAAATCGATATGGTTAGTTTTGACTTCATGTGTATTTTTAATGAAAATGGGTTCTAGCATCTTCAAGATAAGTTGTAGTGGCATGAAAAAACATTGTAGTAGTATTATGTTTCCTCGCTTAAATGTTGATTTGGCTTGCCATAAATGCAGCTGGTAGCTCATAAACAGACGGGGTGCCTTTAAATCCTCCGTCGAGCGGAGCAGGTGGGCGTTCCGCTGCTGCTGGAGCTGCTGAGCGCATTCGCTTCACAAATACTGCGCAAATATCATCAGCTCGTGCTCGACGCCTTAGTGAAATGCTGCAGCTCAATGACAGTGTAATAACGCTAGATCCTGAAAGCCCGGGCGCGGCGGTCTTACTGTCGGCGGACTGTGACGATGGGCTGGAGGTGTCGGCCCGGGCTGGGGCTTCAGTGGCCTGCTGCTCCTCGCTCCAGACCCTCACGCCTTTCCATGTCCACAACCCGACCATGCGAGCTAAAGTCAAAGACTATTTTGTCTTTAGGGTGAGTAACGTTAAGTGTTACTGTTTTTGTTCCAGAATGTCCGGAGTGCGAAATGTGTTTGAGTTTCCTGTTGAAAATAACAGTCACAGAAGTTCTAACGGTTATGGTTTCCTCAATTACTTAATCATAATCCATTTCTTGTAATATATTCCCTTAGGATATATTGTTTAAGCATAACTACCATATATAAGTCCAAAAGAATTAACGTTACATTGAGGTAAAGTTGGTTTTATATTCGCATGTTCGTTTAATTAACGGCCTCGGTAATGTGTACGTTAAGTTGTACGTTACACGTTACATGTATATAACGTTACTATACATATATATGTATAGATAGATAACCATCTTTACCTCAATTAAAGTATCATTATAGAGAGCCAAAGGACTAATATAATTTCCGTCGTAGACATTACAGCCATTACAATTTAGATTAGGGTTTGGATTGATTTCCACAGGGGTGTATGTCAAATCATACGAAGCTCTCTATATAGATTACGCTTATAAAACAACTCCCTCAAAAATTAATCGTTTAATTGTTTTTATCTTGTCATTTATCGTAACAATGAGAACAAGCCTTAATGTATATGTTTTGTTTGGTCAGAACGCGCATATGTTCCCTACATAAAGTACTGTCTACGTAGGGAGCTCATTAGCTTTGTGACGCATCCATTGATTTATGCTGACTTAAAGAGCAGTCTCATTGCAGCTAATATGAAGAGCAGATACATTTAGTGACCATATAATATTGTGAAACCAATAATGATCAGGTGGAGTCAAATTAGCATTATTTAAGTCACTGACTGAACATTTGTTACAAAAAAAGAAGGTAAAAACTATATTTCAAGCTTTTCAAATATTCGCTGTACTTTTTATGCATCTTTTGTTCTCATCTCAGCCAGGAACCATCGAGCAGGCGGTCAACGACATCCGGACAGTCGCTTTGCCTTCAGAAGATGGAGAGGTTCTTAGCGTGTGGTTGCTAGCAGAGTGAGTTTATTAATGGCCTTACTCAGAACATCCACAGACTGAAACACGTTTTTACTAGTATTGCATTTTATTGTAAATTACAAAAAGGGTCTTAAGTGGATTTTTATTTCAGTAGTTAAAACAAAACATACTAACATGGCGTTTTGGCAATGATACTAAAGTACCATTGCATCCATTAAAAGGTTCAGCAAAAATGTAAATTTATTCGCTTGTTTTCCTTAAGTGGTTAAAAACCTTTGACTTGCTTTCTTCTGTTGAACATGAAAGAAGACATTTTGAAGAAATCAAAAAAAAATCTGTAACCATTTTGGAAGTCAATGGTTACAGGTTTCCAACATTTTTCAAAATATCTGCTTTTCTGTTTAACAGAAGAAATAAACTCACTGGTTTGAATTGAGTAAAGGATAAGTGAATGACAACATTAAGTTAACTATTCCTTTAAAGTACTACATCTATACCCTCACTGGCCACTTTATTAGGTACACCTTACTAGTACCGGGTTGGACCATTTTGGCCCATACTGACATGATAGCATCAAGCAGTTCCTGCAGCTTTGTCGGCTGCACATCCTTCCAAATATCTTATTCCATCACATCCCACAGTTGTGCTATTGGATTGAGTTCTGGTGACTGTAGAGGCCATTTGAGTACAGTGAACTCATTTACATGTTCAAGAAATCAGTCTGAGATGATTCGTGCTTTATGGCATGGTGCGTTATCCTGCTGGAAGTAGCCATCAGGAAATGGGTACACTGTGGTCACAAAGGGATGGACATGGTCAGCAACAATACTCAGGTAGGCTGTGGCGTTGACACAATGCTCAATAGGGTTGGCAGCATACTTTGGTTATAACGAGTTGTTACTTGAGTTACTGTTGCCCTTCTATCAGCTGGAACCAGTCTGACCATTCTCCTCTGGCATCAACAAGGCATTTGTGCCCACAGAACTGCCGCTCACTGGATATTTTCTCTTTTTTGGACCATTCTCTGTAAACCCTAGAAAGGGTTGTGCGTGAAAATCCCAGTAGATCAGCAGTTTCTGAAATACCCAGACCATCCCGTCTGGGACCAACAAACATGCTGCGTTCAGTCACTTAAATCCCCTTTCTTCCCCATTTTGATGCTCGGTTTGAACTGCAGCAGATCATATTGACCATGTCTACATGCCTAAATGCATTGAGTTGTGTTAACGAGCCGTCGGAAAGGTGTAGTATGTAATTAATAACTTTGTTAATACAATATACTATATAGTTACAATATTAGATGAATGTTATATCCATCAATACTACAATATACCATGATCTTACCATCTGATAATATGAATATTGGAGCATTAGAGAATTTCAGAATGAGAATGACTTCTTGATTAAAAACCCTTATATTTCTGTTTTTATGTTTTACCACAGAGTCGATCACTGGAATAATGAAAAAGAGAGACTAGTGCTTATAACTGAGAGGTAAGAATGCAAGTCATTTATGTTGATGTTGTGTTAAAGCAGTGGTCACCAAACTTGTTCCTGGAGGGCCGGTGTCCTGCAGATTTTAGCTCCAACCCTAATCAAACACACCTGAACAAGCTAATCAGGCTCTTACTAGGTATACTAGAAACACCTAGGCAGGTGTGTTGAGGCAAGTTGAAGCTAAACCCTGCAGGGACACCGGCCCTCCAGGACCGAGATTGGTGACCCCTGTGTTAAAGGGATAGTTCACCCCAAAGTGAAAATTTGCACTATTTACTCTCCCTCGAATAGTTCCAAACTTATATGAGTTGAACACAAAAGAATTTAGTTTAAAGAAATCTGAAAACCTGTAACCATTGACTTCCTTAGTAGGAAAAACTAATTATTTGGAAGTCAAAGGTTTTAGGTTTTCAGCTTTCTTCAGGATGTCCTCTTTTGTGTTCTACAGAAGAAGGAAACTCATAAAGACTTGAAACAAGGATGAGTAAATGATGACAGAATCTGTATGATTGGGGGAACTATCCCTTTAATACATTAGTTGAAGCATTTTGATCCAGGATGAACCACTTCTGCTGTATTCCAGGTCTTTATTGGTGTGCAAATACGACTTCATAAATCTCCAGTGTCAGCAGGTCATCAGAATTTCCCTGAACGCCGTGGACACCATCTCTATTGGCGAGTTTGAGTTTCCACCAAAATCACTCAACAAGTAAGTGTTTCAATCTGAGGTGAAGTACCAGGGTGTCTGCAGGGTCCTAAAGTCCACATGAACCGGAAGCTGCAACCATATTTTATAAATTTTTTTTCATATTGTGACTCAGTTCCTAGAGAAACTGAATATTCAATGAGCAAAGAGTGGGCGTTGCTTGTTTTTTTTTACTGTAAGCTGATTGGATGTAGTTAAGTAGGCATTTCATTAAGAAAGATTGGGAAAAGGGTTTGGGGAGAGTTATTAAGAAATAACAGACACCTCCTGCTCACCATTTCTGTTATCAAAACAGACAGTTGGACGGGCTAAATACAATTCTGTTGCTGTAACATGTTTATTTCTTGCTGTGTTTGTCTGAAGGAGGGAGGGAACTGGAATCCGTGTTCAATGGGATAAAAGACCGAGAGCTTCGTTCATGAACCGCTGGAACCCCTGGTCCACCGACATCCCCTACGCCACCTTCACTGAACACCCCATGGCACACGCAGATGAAAAGGTGGCTTCCCTCTGCCAGGTAAATCTGATTCTTGCTTGTGTTGTCAAAAATACAGTTGAAGTCAGAATTATTAGCCCCTGTAGATTTATTTATCAGAAAGATTTTTTTCAACACATTTCTAAACATAATAGTTTTAAAAACTCATTTATAATAATTTATTTATTTATTTTATCTTTGCTATGATGACAGCACATAATATTTTACTAGATATTCTTCCAAGATGCTAGTGGAGCTTAAGGGGATTATATTGTCCTTTAAAATGTTTTTAAAAAAAATGTAAAATTGCTTTTATTCTAGCCGAAGTAAAACAAATAAGACTTTCTCCAGTAGAAAAATTTTTTATAGGAAAGCAATTTCCTATTTCCAATTTCTTTGCTCAGGAACACAGGTGGGCTAATAATGTTGACTTCAACTTTATATTGCGATCATGTTTTTCCAAAAGTATTACAGCTCTTTGTAAACGTTTATTAGTACAATTGGTTGATCCTCCTTGTAGTTTGACGGAGAGCTTGGACCCGGAAGCTTAGTCTTGTGACGTCAAACTTAACAACTGGATTGAGACTATACTTCTTACAATAACCAAATTACAACATTGTTCAAGGATGCATAAGACAAACCATATGGTCATGATGAAAAGTCATAATGGTATCCATAATCAGTTTCACAGTTGACAAATAGTAAATGAGGGTGCTTTCACATCAAGACCTGTTTCGGAACCTGGCACGTTTCCCCAGTTAGCGCTGTTCGTTTGGCATATGTGAATCCAGCAATCGTGCTGAATGAGGTGGTCTTGGCTCGATTGAAACGAACTCTGGAGCAGATCGATTGTAGTGAGAAAGCAAAACAATCCAACAAACTAATGAACCAGGCTACATCACAGTGTATAATGGATATGTAATAGGCATATATGGCTATATGAAGAGAGAATTATGAGTAGTGCGGGATGTCATCATTCCTACTACTAATGGCCCATTTCCACTGAGTGGTACGGTTCGGTTTGGTACGCTTTTATGGCCGTTTCCACTGTCAAAAGGCACACCGAACCAAATCGTACCGTACCACTATTTCGGCACCCTTTTGAAAGGGTTTTAAACACAAGAAAGGGTACCAAAAGGCGGAGCTAAATGCACAGCTGAACGCTATTGGTTTACAGAGATAAGTCATTCGTTTGCACAATAAGCCAGAATGTAAACAAAGGACCCGCCATGTTTAAAATACACAGCGAGAGTTTACTTGCCGTCGCCGCGCGTCTATATCTGAAATAACTAACTTCTTGAGCTGATAATAATAACGTGCGCTTGATTATTGACAAGCTTTGGGAACCCGATCCTGTGAGAAGCCGAGAAACGCGAGAATGACAACTGACATAACAGTCCTTTTGGACTAATATGAACTGGGAATGATGGAATGACTCTCTTATAGAGGCCACATGTGCTGCTGAAAATTACAGACACAGATGAGAGGTTTGCTCTGACTGTAGGCTATATTTTGTGTAGTTTTGAACCTAATTAAGGACGAAATGTCTGCTGTGTGTAGTTCTTCTGTAGTTGGTAACATATCGAGGACTGTAAGTGTCTGTACGTGTTCATATATGTTCATTTATTTATTTATTTAATATAATTACAGACGTTACAGTAGTCATTGATCTGCAGTTATAATCAACTCCTGTTCATAGAAAAGTTAGTAATAAACATTTATACAGAAGTGTTTGTGTGTAAAGCGTCTGTTTTGTGAGAAGTGCTTTTCATATGATATGCGAGCGACCTGTGCAGCTTTATTGTTGACATTTTCTCGAGCGAGCATGACGTCGCCGGAAACTTTGTCATACACCACGCCCACCAAAAGGGTACCCTTGCTAGTGGAAACGCAAGCCTGATAAAGGTGACCCGTACCGACCTGAACCGTACCGTACCAGTCAGTGTAAACAAGCCATAAATGTGTGTTTTTCATGTCAAATATGGAAGTAACAGCATGCTGAACTATTAGAGCCGTTTTTCCTTTAGGAACATTGACCGAACAGCAGTCTTGGTTTATCTGTTGTTTCTCTCTATAGTGTAAAGCCTATAATGCATAATTCTAGCCAACTGCTGTGTATGAGAAAGTCTTGCCTCTGATTTATATCTGGTGATGATGCCTGTGGGTGTCACCATTCAAAATGAAAGCACAGCTTTTCGCTTAATGTCTTATTGCTCATCGTCATAAATTAAAATAAGGACAGCTGAGCAAGACTCTGAAAAATAAACCGTGAAACTCTGACCAGCGTGAGGACGTGACTTTAGTTATTTTGTTCCATTTAGAAACTTTGTACTTGGCACGGTTCACTTTCACGGAGCAAAGTGCAACATTTTAACTATTTTAATCCCCGTTTCGGAACAAAATAATCAATCTACAGGTGTGAAAGCACCCTGAGTGGCCCGTTTTTATTTTTTCATTTTTAAATCTGTCAGGTCCTAAAATCTGAAGTCTTGATCACATAAGCCAGAATCATGGCAAAAATGAATTGTTCATCATTTATGGGTAGAGACATTTGGTGCGTCCCATATCACATACTTGTGCAGTATTCTATGCCATTTTGTTGTATTAATAGCGTAAGTTGTACGTTCACACTGAAAACTCTACACATAATAAGTGCACTTTAACCACACTGAACTGAGCTAAACTGAACTGAACTTAAACACTAAAAACTGAACTACTATGTTCCAATTACTATGGCCATTTACGTGAAGCTGCTTTGACACAATCAGGGCCGAAGCAAGCTGAACTGCCGCTCTAGGCAAAGACGATCACGCCGCCCTCAACCCCAATGTAAAAACGAAAGTGACCGGTTATGAAAATGAAGTGAGGTGTCGCGGACCTCTTTTCCGGCGCTCTATGCGCGGAAATAAATGAGGACGCGCAGGTGCTGAGGGAGGGAGGGAGGTGTCGCGGACTGGCGGACACCGCCCTCTCTATTCTGCTGCCCTATTTGTGGATATAACTGAGGATGCGCAGGTGCTGAGGGAGGTGTCGCGAACACTGCGCTCTTTATTCTGCCGCCCTATGCGTGGATATAACTGAGGACGCGCAGGTGCTGAGGGAGGGAGGGAGGTGTCGCGGGCTGGCGGACACCGCTCTCTCTATTCTGCCGCCCTATGCGTGGATATAACTGAGGACGCGCAGGTGCTGAGGGAGGGAGGGAGGTGTTGCGGACACTGCGCTCTTTATTCTGCCGCCCTATGCGTGGATATAACTGAGGACACGCGGGTGCTGATGGAGGTGACGCTGACGCCGCCCTCTCTATTGTATCGTCTATGCGAGAATATATCTGAGGACGCGGGTGGTGAGGGAGGTGTCGCGGACATAACTGAGGACGCAGGTGGTAAGGGAGGTGTCGCAGACGCCGCCCTCTCTATACTGCCGCCCTAGGCGTCCGACTAGGTCGCCTCTATGGACGCGCCGGCCCTGGACACAATCTACATTTTAAAAGCGCTATACAAATAAAGCTGAATTGAATTGAATTAAATCCCTGGATGATGCCTTTATTCAACCTTTTAAATGAAGTGTGAAATGTTGGACCCTTCACACACTCAAGACCGCTGCTTTGGTCATGTAGCGGAAGTGGTGGAGCTTTCGGGCACTGACAGATTATTTATCAAAATTCTTCTACAAGAGTGATTATAGCGCCTCCCGATGGTGAATGTGGTTGTACTCATGGCAGGTTTTATTTGGTAGTTTGATCATTTATTCCACTAATTTGACAACCGTCAAACATCATCTAGAAAACGGTTTGAATTTCCGCTTGTTAAAAAAAAACATTCTCTATTTAGTACGACACAACATACATATCAAATGCTGTTGAGTGTGTAAGTGCATAAGCACATAGTGCCATTTGAGACGCAGCTATAATGATCTCAATACGTTTTTTATTTCAGCTTGAGAATTTCAAGACCCAGCTGATCCAGGCAGTGAAAAAAGCTCACAAGGAGTACCCCATCCCGGGACGGGCCAATGGAGTCCTGATACTGGAGCGGCCCCTCCTGATCGAGACTTACCTGGGCATCATGTCCTTTATCAACAATGAAGCCAAACTGGGCTACGCCATGACCAGGGGAAAAATCGGCTTTTAACTACTCAATTCTTCCGCCATCTCAATCATGCTCCAGTTTTGAGTACAACTGCTACACTTGAGTATGTGAGTCCAGTACATACAGCTTGTTTTGTTGTGTTTTTTTGGGGATGTGTATAGTGTGTGAAATGTGCCAGGAAGATCCCAATGCCAATTTCAATTTACAAAGCCTTTCTAATATGGTCGAATGGTTTGAAGATTGAGTTTGTGTGTGTTATAAGCATGCTTTGTTTATTTTTACCAAAAAAAAAAAAAGGTTGTTGGTTGACTGAATGGCTTAAGGAAGAACTGTTGAGTTGAGGTTTATGGTTCCCTTGACCTTGTGTTTGCATAAGTGGTGCGTTCTTCAATAGACTAAGCACTGAAATGAAGAACGAAGAGTTCCATAATTGGTTAAACTTGATGCATCAACTTAAAAATGCAATATTCATGGAAGGATTCTACCCAAATCAACCAAAGTGTCTGCATTTGTTTGGTTTTAGACCTTACTAATTGATGACTTAGTTGACTAATCGCCAAACAACCATGATCATCCATCCCTATTCTCAGACCATAAGGTGCAAATCTACCTTCATTTGGAAGAATTTTACTGAGTAAAATGTAGTTATTCCAATAGAAATACATAATAGCCAGAGTTTTATGTGAGGGAAAAATGTATTTTATTTATTTTTTAGTTCCTGTTACTAAAAGTTTCTGTGGTGCAAGAATGGCAAAAAAAAAAACAAAGTTCTTTTGGCAATAGTTATAAGAACTATGAAACTGTCTCTCTGGTCAAAAAAGTGACAAAATATTTAGTTTGCACAAATGAATGCGGTGAATTCATAATCTTTCTGAATTCTGAACATTCACTTTTAGGGAATGAATCTCCAATTGTGATGAAACCGAAGTACTGTAGGTTTGTCACGATACTGGAATTTTACAAACGTCCATTTTCCGCTAACATTTGAGCGCTGATTTGCTATTGTGTTCACATGCTCAACAAAAATGACTGATTGACCGTAAAAGTCATCAGTTCACCAAGTGTAACTACAGATATAGGCACACTGGAACGTTATAAAGCCACGATTCATCAGTGGAGCGCTTATATGTCAGCTAATAGAAAAACCAGCTGATGAGATGACTATAAAACGCTCCAGTGTCCCTGTATAGGTGTTAACCCTCAATAAACATCGTTGAGTTTAGTGAACTGATGACCTTCACGGCCAATCACAGTCAATAAACAGATCTTATTTACATTGTAGAGTTCTGGGTTTACAGCTTGCAATTCTAACTTTTCCCTTTGAAATTATTATGAGTTTGTTATCGTATGTATTATTATTCTGATTTTTTTTTTCCTGGACTTGACTCAAATTATTTTGATAACCTGATTCTTATGTTCAGTTCACTTAAATTTGTAAAAACCATTAAGTTAGCTTAATGGATTTGTGTTGGGACAACATGAAGGAATTGAGTGGAACCCTGTTTTTTTTTGAAAGTTTATAACTTGAAATATTGAGGTATTTTTTGGAAATTAACTCTATTTATTTATTTTTTTCCTTAGAAGTAAGATATATGGTGGGTGAGAGAGAAAAAAGTCTCAATGGTGTATAAAAAAAAAAAAAAAAAAAAAAAAAAGCATGACTTTTTAAATTTTTTTCCATATTCCCAGGGCTTGACGTTAACACCCGCCAACCTGCCAAATGCGGATAGAGTTTAGCTGTGAAGGGTTGGACAGCCACCTCCAGTAGCCACTTTGGCAGATTGGAAATCATTTTTAAATTGACAGTGCTGGCTCATCACTAAAGATTAGAATTTTAGTTTAAAGCCGTCTGTCAATATCCGTGCAAATGCCATCAGCACAACTGATAACTGTTCGTGTGAGCAAAGAAAGCAGGTGAATACGGAATGAGAGGATGATCAGGCGATTGTTGAGACAGGCTCTCCTCACTCACCAACGAGGGCTTTAGTGTCACGTGCACAGCTGATGCGATGCGCACGAGTGCTTAAAAACTCCCGTTTCCTTGCGCAAAAACAACCGTGCTTGGACATGCAACTGGTGCGATCATTTCTCTTTGAAATAGGCTGGAAACAAGCAGTGCTCGTGCCCCCACAGTCTTACTGCTTTCAAGAGCTCCAGACTTTTAAGCAGCAGTGTTTACCGCTTTCACTTACCATTATTTGAACAGATAAAAAATGGGCCTATGGTTAACAGTGCGCGCGTGATCATCCTTTCATTATCGCAGTGTTTTTCTTCTGCTTTCTTATTGTTACTTTTGTTAATATGTTTTAATGACTATCCTTTACAATAACATTGCTTTAATAGAAGATTAACTTCCCGTTCATGTTAACTGGTGATCTGGAACCTTTAGCCTGGACAAACTACTGTGCATTTTAGACACATGATGATGTTTTTTTTTAAATGTCTATTTTTTTTTTAAGAACATTTTAGTTGAATAAATAAAAAGTGTATGTATACAGCTATATTTAGCTTGTTATGACAATTTTTTTAAAATTTTGTGGCAAAGAAATAATTAGTTTGGGGTGGCCAGAGGAAAACAATTGTTAAATCCTTAGTATTGAGCCCTGAAAATATGAGATGTGAAATAAAAGCTAATTGCAACGTGAAACTATGAAGCCACAACCCATTTGCTTGTGCTCATTAAGCAAGGTCATACATAATACAAAAAAAAGTGAAATGAATGAGGAGGCATGTGGACAACACAACATCTAAATCAAGTCATTTTAGCATGCCAAAGTCAAATTTATGCATGTAAAATATATTTTCCCGACAGCAAAATTGTGGCTAGTGAAAACGGCGAGTGGCTAGTAATGCTGGAAAACTACTAGCCACAGTGGCTGGTGATCAAAACAGTTAACGTCAAGCCCTGCATATTCCCATGCAAAAACGAGCTTTCAGAACGTTTGCACTAAGACAATGAATACCAGTTCTGCAATTGTAAAGTGAATGATTCAAGTACTCATTACTGTAACAATAAATCTGAACACTGCTACATGAAATCATTCAAGTCAACCTAATTTATTCAAATAAAACCATTATCAATTATTACCATCCCTAACACACTTTTAAAATGAGAATTGATCAGCGTAAGATTACTTACCGAACAAAATATGCTTTTCCAAACTCTATAATCCACTTTAAAAAAGTCATAACGTCGGTGCCAATAGCCTAGTGGTTAGGCGCGCCGACATATAGCACCATGGTGCTCACGGCGACCCGAGTTCGATTCCCGGCTCGAGGTCCTATGCCGACCCTTCCCCTCTCTCTGGTCCTAATACTTTCCTGTCTGTCCTCCACTATCCTATCCCAATAAAGGGTTAAAAACCCCTAAAACATAATAAAAAAATAAAATAAGTAGAAACGAGCGTGTTTGTCAAGTGTCCACATGAACACAACTGCCTGACATTTACATTTAATGTTGACATTGCGTTTACGGTCCACGTGCCTGCAGTTTTCAAAAGCGACTTTCAGGTCTTATCTGGTAGTTCTGCTGTTAATTGTGCATTATTATTATGTCCTCCTCATGTTTGTGTGCTTTTCAGTTGTTTGTATCTTCCTCAATCTACACAAAATGTAGATGATAGCGAATGCTACGACAATACTTAAAGCTAAAATGAAGAATTAGAAGAAATGCTGTTTTTCCTCAGGTGATGGTCAACAGATTGGCTTAATCGATGGGTTTTTCCTGCTGTTGAGCGCTTTACGGGTTCAGAGACTTTCAAGTGTTTTTTTAACACGAGATGCACTTTTGTTGGCCTGTTTCTGTTCGTTTTTTGCTATGCATTGAGAAATAGTGGTGTCTTTGTTGAAATGTTGCCGTTTGTTTTGTTATAAGGGATAGTTTGGCTAAAATTCTGTCTTTATATACTCACCCTCTTTTTTGTTTTGTTTTTGTGGTTGAACACAAAAGAAGATACTATTAAGAATGTTGGGGAAAAACAGCAGATGAGTGTTTTCGTTTGTTCCTGAATGATTGCTTTTTCCCCCCAACATTTTCAGAATTAACCCAACCAAACACAAAGAAATTCAGAAACAAAAAGACAAACAGGAATTCACAAACATTTAGAAGCCCTTGAGTGAGTACAGGGTGTCATCAAGTCAAATTTAAGACTTTTTAAGGCCATTAAGAATGAAATTTTAGACTCGTACACACCGGGGCGCTTTTTATTTGTGTTTATTGTCAGCGTTTTAGGAGACATTTTTCTGCATTCAAGCCCAAGCGATTTTCTCTGCCGTTAAGCTGAAGAGTATGCAAAATCACTCCTTGACGTTAGATGGCGCTGCACAAATTTAAGCTTCTGACATCCGCTTGTAACACAGAAGAATAGGAGAAGAGGAAGTTCACACGCTTTTTGTTAAAGTTTCTGGTGACTCGAACAAGCATAGATGGTTCAGGAAGCAGCTCCAGCTCTAGCGATGAAGAAATGATTATTTTGGTCAGACAAATAAGCAGCTGCAAGTTCATATCGCCTCTGGGCATCTTCTTCAATGTGCGCTCGCATTGACTGTTTTGTGCTTGAGCGCCTCCATGTGCTGTTTACTATAACTTCAGCAGCTCCGTACACATGAACAAAAGTGCCGATCTGATTGGTGAAGAAGGTTTTATTGCGGCGCTTCAAAACTAAAATTTTTTAATGACGCTTTTGCTCCTGCCGTTTTGCGTGTTGGTGTGTACGATCGCATTTGCACCCTTTATATAGTCACGAGGCGTTAAACGTTGACGGAAAACGCGAGCAAAAAACATCTCTGTGGGAACGGGCCTTTAGACTTACGATTTTTTCGAATGGCCTGGTATTATTATTAGAAATCATGCAGTGATTTTTAGTTTTTTTTCTGATTAGGGAATTTAATTTGGCGATTCGGCTGTAAAAATGTCTAAAAGCTGTTGTGACTGTCTCTCATTGGAATAAACAAAACTTAAAAATAAAAAATGAGGTTTTCTTGAGGTGTATTATTGATGATTGGATGGTTGTCGGCCCAATTGAGTAGCTTAAGCTGGACAAAACAAAATTAAGACCTGTTTAAAATGATTTAAGACCTACAAGACAGTATTTCAGTGGATTTAAGACTTTACATTTGGTTTTTAAAATTTGAGACATTTTAAGACTATTTAAGAGCCAGCAGATACCCTGGAGTAGCACTGAGGAGTGTGAACTATCCCTTTTAACAGACGTCAGTGTGTGTTTTCTATGTCTGTTTTATTGTAACGTTGTGCATGAAGATTTCTGCCTGCAACTGCTTTGATGTTTAATTTGTTGTTCACAGATGATCAATTCACCAAAATGTTTACACTTTTCCTCTGCTCTAGATTTATTTATATATTCATTAATCCATTTCTAATTAATCCATTAGCGAACTCAAGCCAATTAAACTCTGAACTCTTCCAATTCAGGTTTTTGTTTCAAATGGATCTGGATTTACCTGCGATCACACTGATATTTGTTTGTTTCTCGTAATAATTTATGTCATTTAAAAACATGCTTTAATTAAACGACTGTTCTTTTAACGCATTTCATTTGTTGCGTCTTTTATTTAAAAAACAATGCAATATGCTGAATTTGCAAACAGTCATTATTTAAAACATGCCTTGATTAAACATTTAAAAAATGTTTAATTAAAACCGGTCAAAAGTTAGAAATAATTTGAATATTTTAATGCGTTTAATCTCTCTCTAAAGCCTCCTTTCCACTGCACATGACAGACCGGAAGTCATTCATTTCCAATAGGGAGCAGTCCGGGAGCTGTGTGGAGTTCCGATTATCTCTATATGTGGAAAATTCGGAAGACGTGCAGCACCTGAAACTACGGATACTGGAAGCCTGTGCTGGCATTTCTCCTGCAGTGTTGCTCTCAGGGTGTGAAGAGTGGGAGAAGAGGGTTGCATTGACAATCCAACACAATGGGCAGCACATTGAACACATTTTATAAGTGGTCAGAAACTTGTAAATAACTCATGAAAGAAAGTTACGTTAAAATCAAGCACACCATTGTGTTTCTTGTGAAATTCCCAATAAGTTTGATGTGTCAAATGACCCTCTTACTATTGAAAAAACAAACGTTGGATCCAAGACGGCCGACTTCAAAATGGCCACCATGGCCACCACCCGTCTTGAAAAGTTTGCCCCCTCACATATACTAATGTGCCACAAACAGGACGCTAATATCACCAACCATTCCCATTTTATTAAGATGTATACATATAAATGGCCCACGCTGTACTTATTTTTATACTATATAGAAAATTTCTAACGGTTGTGTAGAAATTTTTAATTCAAATGTAGTACTTACTGTGTAGTCGCAGCCTATTTTTTTACAGTCTTTGTTTGGAGAATGAATAGTTCTACACTTCTAATTTCTACCGGAAATAGTAGACCACCTGGAAACACTTGACATGCTCTTTTCAACATACAGTTTGGGGCATACCAATTCTAATTTCGTATATTCTTTTAGAACGGATAGTACGCGAATTGGGATGCGGCTTAAGATATATTTAAATAGAAACCGGTTACTTCAAAGAATAATATTTCACAGAACTGAATCAAACGTTTTAAGAATGTCAAATGTTAATCGATGCGCACACATACAAATGAAAATTAGACACATCAGTGTACAAAACTTTATTACAAACGGCTCTACTTTTATCAAAAATAAATCTAATCATGAAACACGAAATGCAAACAGAAGCAAAACGTCTTCCATTCACATCCAGTCACATTCATGTCAAAAACCCAGCTACAAGCCAATCTAAAGTCACTCATCTAATGTGTGTGTCATATTTGGTCCTTCATAGAGCATCAGGGACAGATATTTGGCTTGTAAGGCCGTCAGTTCATTCACACTACATTATGTGGTGTAGCAGAAACACACACCGCTCATAAACATCCACTGACTATTGCTCTGCTTATAACACCACAGAACTGAGTAAACGTACTCATTATTCCATGTGCTTTACTGACAATCTGCAGTTCGTGTTTGAGATGAAACAATAAACATCGTACCTGAAGTCTACTAAAGTGCTGAGGTATATTTGTGGCTTCCTCATTCTCTGACGGTGTATTGCAGAATCAAAGTGTTTTGGGTTATTTCTGCTCTTCAGCATCAGTGTAACACAGACAGAGCTGATCTTTGGACAGCAGGACGAGTGAACTGCCAGTGCAGTGCCAGAACAGAGACTGCACCTGAAAACCTGGAGAAAACACACATAAACAAACACAGTCAACTTCCTGTAGGCAATCAGCTTCCTGTGTGGTTTATTGGGTAATGCCATTTCTAAAACTGGTTTCAAAACAGCCACATAGTCAAAACTTGACTGTATATTTAGTAGTTCAAATATGATATAGCAAAGTCTCTTTAAGGCAAGTCATTGCACTCAGCGGCCGTCTTTGAAACACCTCTTAGGTAGAATGGGGAAGAATCCTATTGTAGAAATGTAGCCTCAGTTTCCTGTTCTTAGCTGACAGGGGTGGCAGCCGGTGTGCTCTCCTGCTGCTGTACCCCATCTGCCCATCTATCAGCTGGAACCAGTCTGGCCATTCTCCTCTAACATCGACAAGGCATTTGTGCCCACAGAACTGCTGCTCACTCGATATTTCCTCTCTTTCAGACCATTCTCTGTAAACCCTAGATATGGTTGTGCGTGAAAATCCCAGTAGATCAGCAGTTTCTGAAATGCTCAGACCAGCCCGTCTGACACCAACAACCATGCCACATTCATAGTCACTTAAAATCCCCTTTCTTCCCTATTCTGATGCTCGGTTTGAACTGCAGCAGATCGTCTTGAGCATGATTAGAAATTTGCTGTCCAACGAGCAGTTAGACAGGTGTACCTAATAAAGTGGCTAATGAGTGTAGTTTACTTATAGGAGTGTTTCCCAACCCTGTTCCTGAAGGCACACCAGCAGTACGTATTTTGGATGTCTCCCTCATCTGACCCATTCATTTGAGGTTTTAGAGTCTCTTCTAATGTTCGGGTGAGTTGATTCAGTGTTTGAATATGAAGAGGTTGAACGTGTACTGTTGATGTGCCATCAGGAACAGGTTTGGGAAACACTGGCTTACAGTATTAAATATTGCCTGGTCTTGTTGACATATACACGTGACTACCGGAACATGTTAATGCGCGCAGCTGTCATTCGGTGGGCGGGGGGAATCGCACTCCTACGTAAAGTTGCGGTCGATCTAAAAACCGCTCCAATTGATCCACCGTTTTTATGTTGTTAAATTGAAAAAAAAAAAGGACTGGGTGTGTTTATATCACCCCAATATGATGGTCTATACACTATATATACACATATGTTTGTCCAAATAGCTTAAAAAGTAGATTTTTCACCATAGATGCCCTTTAAGCAAATTTCAAAATGGAAACCAAAGTTCTTTACGGTGTTGGTTCGATTGTAAGGCTTTAATTTTTATACTATAGAATTTAAGACCCTTCACGACTTTGAGAAATAGCGGACACCCTGGGCCTGTTTCAGTAAGGAGGTTCAACCAACTCAGAGTTTAAACTTGAACTCTGAGTTGATTTACCGAGAGATGAGTTTTGGTAAAAACCCAAACAATACAAACAAAAATAAACAAATGTAAAAAAAAATTTGTTCTGAGTGACAATGGAGTGACAGAAAGAGAAAGTGCTGAACTACTGAAACGTCTTTGATTCCTGTTTTAACCCTGTTTATGCTGCCAGTATTAGAGAGTGAAATTCAATACCTTTTAAGACCTTTTTTAAGTGTCTTTTGATACATTTTAAGACCTCATCGCCACTTTAGGTCTGAACAAGTAACATTGTCGACATTTTAAATATATTCACTTAATTCTGATTATAAAAAACTAATCCTAAACTAAAACATTACTCATATACTTCAGGGCTCAACAATAAGGACTGCCCAATGGCCCAGGGCCAGTGTGAGAGACGCTTGGGACAGTAGACGGGATCATTACTGGCCCGATTGGGGCCACCTTTTGTTAAATAATTTCGAACTGAAATGAAATACCTTCACATTTTCCATACAGCTGTTTTTGTTTTGTTAACGCATAATTTTGCTCATCATACATATATTAACATTTTTAAAATATTATTTAAATAATTTTTAACATTTAAATAATTCTAGACATTATTTTTGACAAATTATTTAAAATATGTGGCTAAAAAATAGCTATTAAATTGTATATTTTCTTTGGTGGGGCCAGTGGAAATTTTGGCAGGGCAAGTAAAAATCTTAACCATTGGCCCGATCGGACCAGCTAACAGCTGAAACAGCACCAACAACTTTCATTAAAAAAAATATATCTACACAACTTTGTTTAGTTTTACAAATCAGAATTTGCCACCTTAAAAGCACAAATATATGCATTCATTCATTCATTCATTCATTCATTTTCTTGTCGGCTTAGTCCCTTAATTAATCCGGGGTTGCCACAGCGGAATGAACTGCCAACTTATCCAGCAAGTTTTTTTACGCAGCGGATGCCCTACCAGCCGCAACCCATCTCTGGGAAACATCCACACACACATTCACAAACACACTCATACACTACGGACAATTTAGCCTACCCAATTCACCTGTACCGCATGTCTTTGCACCCGGAGGAAACCCACGCGAAGGCAGGGAGAACATGCAAACTCCCCATAACTTCATTTGTAAACTAATTCGTTTTGTTTTCTTTGCATATATGGCCTTCTTTGGTGTTTACCAACATCCGGTAAAATTTCAAGTCGACAGCACCTTTACAAATAGGTTTTCTGAGAATAATGGTGACGTGTTCAATACATATTTCGCACGTGCTGGTCAAGAAACTAGATCTGTACCTTCCACTGGAACAGTGACAGATATGCAGCCAGCTGGTGACCACATATATAGTTTGGTGTTTCCGGTGCAGAGGGCCAGTCGAGGTAAGTGTGGGTCCCAGACGAAGCAGCGCACAGGAGCCGTCTGTTCCAGGACAGCCAGCAGACTGAACTTCTGCATGTCCCACACCCACAGGCTCTGAGGCATGTTATCTGAAAGAGGAGACACCGCTCAACAACACCACCACCCTCACAAACATGAGCACAGCTGCTAAACACATCTGAATAAAAAGAACGGAGTCTGTTAAACGCTCGGGGATTTCCTAGGAAGGGAGAGCACCAAATGGTACTGGACATCCGATGCAGGTTGGCATTGGCAGAATGTAGTGCGGCTACTGTTGCCAGCTGGAAGTAATGTACAGTTGAAGTCAGAATTATTCGCCCCCCTGTTTATTTTCCCTAATTTCGGTTTAACGGAGAGCAGATTTCTTTAAAACATTTCTAATCATAATAGTTTTAATAACTCATCTCTAATAACTGATTTATTTCATCTTTGTCATGATGACAGTAAATAATATTTGACTAGATATTCCTCAAGACACTTTTATACAGATTAAAGTGACATTTAGAGGCTTAACTAGGTTAATTTGGGTTAACTAGGCAGGTTAGGGTAATTAGGCAAGTTATTGTATGATGATGGTTTGTTCTGTAGACTATCGGAAAAAT